ACCTGTTTCTGAGCTCTACAGGCAGTTCTTTTGACCTCAGGGCTTAGTTTTTGCTCTGATATGCATTATCAGCCGTTAGACCTTTTATTAAGATGTGTGTGCCTTTCCAAATCACACCCATTCAATTGAATTTACCACAGGTTAACTTCACTTCACAAGTGTAGTAACATCTACAAGCAATATGAATGCTCCTGAGCTAAATTTCAACTGTCCCAGATAAGGGTATGAACACTTATGCAATGGAATCATTTAAGTTTTTTCATTTTTAATAAATTTGCAAAGATATTAAAAACCTGTTTTTTGCTTTTCCATTATGGAGTATGGCATGTAGATTGATGTGGGAAAAAAAGTAATTTAAAGAAGTTTTACATAAGGCAGCAACTTAACAAAATGTGAAAAAAATTAAGGGGTATGAATACATTCGCAAGGCACTGTATGTTGCTTGCTTACAAAAGCATAATATGTTTATAAAAAGTCATATTTTCATAGGCTGTGTTAGAGAGTGATAGTACCTTCTGGATCTCAGTAAGATAGCAGTCTATAAAATCTCTGGGTGAGGAGGGGTCCCAGTCTGCATAATGCTTGTCCACCTCTTCCTTAATAAACGCACAAATTTGATGGAAGCAGGAAAACAGGTCTTTATGAGGTCCCGGGAGGAGGTCCATAACATAAGGGAAAACACTGTAAAGCTATAATGGACAAGTAGCAGGTCAGCTTGGGTGGGCACCTTTATTTTATTAGTTTGGTTTTCAAATAATGCATTTTGTTACACCTTTAGTGGCAATTTAGGAGTGCCTATGACAGACCACTATATCTTTTCATCTCATCATAAGAATGGACATATCAGTACCTGTATCCACACAGACGTTTGTAGTTTAAGGGCTTTAGACATCAGACTGAGCATGTTCAGAAGCCTTTGGTCAGTGTACTCAAACCTCCTGCCAAATACCATGGAGCAGATGATGTTGGAGACAGCATTGTTAATAAAGTAATAAGGGTCGAATGGCAGCCCTAATAAAATACAACGACAGGTGAAGCTGGTTTCGGTTTCAAAGTAGATTTTTACTTTTTTTTTTTTTGGATGTTAACGGTGGTTGTCAATGTGTTGCTATACGGTTGCTAAGGAATTGAGTCATAGTGCTGGTTGCATAAACCTCTTAGACTAATCTTACAAGTTAGTCATATAAATTTTTTTTTCAAGACTGGTCATAAGTCAGTTACATAAAAAGGTATATTGGTCTAAATTGAATCCAAAAAGTTGACTAGTTGGTCAAATTAGTTCTTAAGACAGTCTCAACATAGTGGCTATGTTTATGCAACTGGCCTAGGGGTATTGCTAGGTGGTTGTTTATTAGACCATATCAAAAGGGTCTTTCTGCAAGTCTCTATGCTATTTTGGTCCCTACATATGGCGTGTGTCCTTAACTCTCTGGTATTCTTTGCTTAGGGATTAAACATGTTAAACAAGACAATAAGTGTGACATTTTTTGAAAGAAATTAATGTACTAAATGTTTTCAATAATATGTATTCCTTTATATTTTGTATTTTGAGGGGATTTCATGGTGCTAGGCAATATTCACCACTAATTTTATTCACCATTTTTTCTGTATAAAATGATACAAGTATTAGAAAAAAGTAATTAATGTTTAAGTTAAAAATGTATCAATTAGTGTTTAAGTAAAAATGTATTTAAAATTCAATGCATGGAAGACAGATTGGTCCCATCCTAAATATAAGTCAGGTTCTGCTTCTTATCATCACATTAATGCTGCTACTGTACTTACCATTGGTTTCCATGATGGTCTGGTGAAGGAATTTGTACTCTTCCATGATGATGACTTCCAGGCTCCTCTTTCCTACGCCAAAGTATTTAAGAGTACTAAGAGTGAAACGCCTCCGTTGCTTCCAGCTGTAGCCATTATTGAAGGTTACACCTGTTGCCAGACATTACATGAAAGATGTGATATTTAGAGAGTGTTAGAATGTCATTTAAAGGTATTCTCCCAACATTAATGTATACCTTGGCACTTGATTATTCTTTTGAGCACATCATTGGTTGGACGGCCTGTGAAAATGTTTGCATGATCAATAAGAGTTTTCTTGACCATACTGTAGGTATTCACAACAACAGTGTTTAAGCTTCCCAGACGCAAGCTGAAAATGTTGCCATAACGGTCTGACATCTGCAGGGAAAGAGACAACATGAAAAAGAAAAAAGTGAAAAATAATCAGGGTTACAGGGATTAAGATATCAGGCCTCAAAATGCTGTCAGACTTAGAAATCACAACAATAAGAGGCTGTGAATTACCTTAGTTAAATGAATATGTGGTTGTTTAGCATCCAGGTTGAAAGCATTCCCAATAAAAGGGAGAGGTGTGGGTCCAGGGGGATAGTTTCTAGGCTTTCTGTTTCTCAGATGGTCTGAGATCAGCAGAAAGATGACGAACATCAGTAATACGGTCCCTACATCTGTCCACTGCACTGAAGCTAAAGACAACAAAATATTCTCCAAGACCATTTTCACGCGTTTAACCCCTTTATTCTGCACTGAGAAACGTGACTACGCGAAAAGTTTGGCTTTAATTTGTTTACTTCCTGGTTCACTTTTGTTTTCAACAACGTGCAACAAACATTTCGAACACCTGATATTCGGAGAGAGAGCTGTTCGTGAACGAATCTGTGTTTCTGAATGATTTTTTTTTAAAGGTAACGTTAAACGAATCGTCCAGTCCATGCGCTCATATTTTTATACACTGAATCTTCCTTATGTAACTTGACTGATTTTCTGCTTTGAATGACCGACACTAGCGCGAACAAATAGCATTCTAGTCCAAACTGTGTAGGACCATTTAATTGGCTGGGTCTAATGAACTACCGCCCCCTGCACTGAGCTAGACGAGATGTTTCGAGTCTGTGAGGTGTAGGCTATGCCTACTGAACGAGACATGAAAAATAAATAGCATGATATAACTCATTTCTAGCGGTCGACCAAATAAAAAAATAAATAAATACGTAAGTAAAATAAAACAAAAATGGATGAACTGCTTTAATGCTTTCGTTTGTGGGACGCTCTCTTTCCGATAGGCTATCTCTTATGTAGATGCGCAGCAGAGGACTATTATTCTGCTGCGTGATACTGTGGAAGAACTGATGAAGGCACGGTTTGATCTTCGGCTGACCAATCAGCAGAAAGGGGCGTTTAATTCCCGCCCACGTGTAGAAATCGAATATTCAAGCTGTTTATTCATTTTTCCACCCATGAACGAGAAACGTAAATTTAAGCTGAATTCTCGTTTTTCGTTTTTCGGAAAAAAACAAAAAAACGAAAAAGGAGCCGTTTTCTCATTTTTCTACTTTCAATATTAAATCAAAAAACGAATGATCGAATGATACACGGATTGCGCACACACAACAATCTCAACAATCAGTACTTGTGTTACTGTGTAACCTGCAGGAAAGACAACAAGTAATCAGTGAATTTATTTAACGAATATAAAAAAATCGAAATGAAATGGCTAGTGACGTGGGGAACAAGACACTGCGGTTTCCTTCCTTTAGATTTGAGGTAACAATTCATCAGATTCTCCCTTTAACGCTGTTTTGAAATTGGAAATGATTATTAAGTAGCCTATATGAAATCCAAGGTAAGATGTTAATTTATCCCATGTTATTAAAGATTCTCTTGACAAATGTATGTGTTCAAATATTGATATAGTAGTAGTAATAAGGGTCTGTTTCTCCCTCCTTCATGGAATATTTCTCCTCTACTTTCCTTACTTTTTTTCAGCAGGGCCTCCTAAGCATGGAGAGGGGGTCTACAGTCTCTGTGTGAAAGGCGGGGCCTGGTTTCACTGCCAGTTGCATTGCTCAAATGACGACCCTGTTTCCCAGTCAAGCATAAGCATTTATAGACTGCAGCTATCCAGTACTCTGACATTCTCTGACAAAGGGAATATGCCATTTTCTTCAACATGATCCTGCAATTTATATATGAAAGCTTTGACTTTAAAAGCTGGATCATTTTATGCTTTGTTTTACTGCTTCTTGTAGATATTATCAAATATAGGAATCCTTCCAGTTTCCCCCCGGGACCCTGGCCTCTACCATTCCTGGGAAATGTCTTCACTGAGATAGATTTTAGGAACGTGAATAAGGTAGGAGCAAATTGCATAATTTATTTGCATGCCAATTTATGTTATTTTTAGACAGATTTTTGGTGGATGTTATCAAGTTGATATTATATTATATTATATTATATTATATTATATTATATTATATTATATTATATTATATTATATTGTATTATATTAACGAATACCTGTTAATATAAATATATTTTTAATTTCAGTTGGCTGAAGTCTACGGGACCATATTCAGCTTAAGAGTGGGCAGTGAGAAAATGATAATTGTTTCTGGATATAAAATGGTAAAGGAGGCCCTCATTACTCAGATTGACAGTTTCGTTGACCGTCCAAATGTCCCTCTGTTTCACAAAGTTTTTAAGGGAATCGGTAAGTACACTGACCATAATGACATTTAAGCTTAAAATTAAGGTTCATTATTCGCTCAAATAGTATTGAAATTCTTTCATTCATTCGTATTATGAAGGTACGATACTGAGTAATGGATACCTGTGGCGGATGCATAGGAAGTTTGCTGTCTCCCATTTGCGGACCTTTGGAGAGGGGAAGAAAAGCCTTGAGCTCAGAATTCAACAAGAATGTGTCCACCTTTGTAATGCTTTTAGGGCAGAAAAGGGTATGGTCTAAATGTCTGGAGAGTTCCATTTTCATGAATTTTATGAATAGAATAAAAAATGATTTGGAGAGAAAAATTAATATACAGTATGTATACATGTTTTTTTTTTTCAAACAGGACATTTTAACCCCATGGTTACCTTGAACAGTGCTGTCTCAAATATCATCTCCTGCTTAATATTTGGACAACGCTTTGAGTATCATGATGAATGTTACCAAAAAATTCTGCGTCTTGATACTGAATGCATTCAGTTAATAGGCTCTCCTAGAGCACAGGTACTGATTCATAATAGCATTCTTAGACTCTACTTTCATAACCTTTGAGTTCATTGTAATAAAAATCTGTATTCATCACCCATTATGTCATCTTTCACAGCTGTATAATGTGTGTCCTCGGCTCTTGGAATATTTACCTGGCCCCCACCAGACAATTTTTTCCAACTATAAGCAAATAACAGACTTCCTGAGAGGAGAGATCATTAAACACAAAGAGGACTGGGACCCTTTAAACCCACGTGACTTAATAGACAACTACCTGACTGAGATGGAAAAGGTAACTAAAGTTGGATTTTATTTCGTTAAGCTTTTAAAATACAAACAAGGTACATTTCCAGGCAACTGCCATTTGATCAACCTAAGGATGTTTTGATAAGAGAGTTTTTGCATATTTTTGTATTGATTCCCACCTGTGCAGAAAAAGAGTGATCCTGAGGCTGGTTTTAACATTGAAGGGTTAGTAGTGACTTGTCTAGACTTGATTGAGGCCGGGACAGAAACCGCAACTACAACATTGCGCTGGGGTCTGCTTTTTATGATCAAGTTCCCAGAAATCCAAGGTGAGTATTGATTTTTAAAGCAGGAATGATCATGGATCTTCTTTTGAAGCATGCGGGTTATATGTCATCTGCAAGTTAGCTTAGAAATGCATCAGGTCCAGGAGTTTTCCATGAACGGGTTGTCTAAAAACACACACATTATACAAGTAATATTTGTATTTCCCATTCAGAAAAGGTCCAGGAAGAGATAGACAGGGTGATTGGACAGTCGCGTCAACCCTGTTTGGCTGATAGAGTTAATATGCCCTACACTGATGCTGTAATCCATGAGATACAAAGATTTGGAGATGTTGTTCCACTGGGATTCCCTAAAAAAGCTGTTAAAGACACAACACTAAGAGGATACTTCATTCCTAAGGTATGAATTCTATTCTTTTCTATTTAGGGGTGTAGTCCTGTCTAGAACAGTGAAGTTTGCATTTTCTCTTTGTTAGGGCACCTCTATTACAATAAACCTGTCTTCAGTCCTGCATGATCCAAACGAATGGGAAACCCCAGACACCTTTAACCCAGGACACTTCCTGACTGAAAATGGCCAGTTTTGGAAGAGAGATGCCTTCATGCCATTTTCAGCAGGTAATGTGCAAACATTTCATCTGATATAACTTCTAAAAAGGGATATGCTTGTATTTAATTATTTTTATTGACTTCGGGTGAGTGAATAATTGTTGTCCATGCCACGTTAGGATTTTTAACTTTAGTTGATGGCATCTTCTCACAGGTAAGCGAGCGTGTTTGGGAGAGCAGCTGGCTCGTCAGGAGCTCTTCTTATACTTCACCTCCCTGCTGCAGCAATTCACCATCTCCAAATGTCCAGGAGAGGAACCCAGTTTGGAGGGAGAGATATGGTTCACATATGCTCCTGCTCCCTACCGTATGTGTTTGTCCTCACGTTAGAGCAGTGGTTCTCAAACCTCTCCATGAAGTACCCGCAGCACTGCACGTTTTGTATGTCTCCCTATATCTGACACACCCACTTCAGGTCTTGCAGTCTCCACTAATGAGCTGATGAGTTGAATCAGGTGTGATAGATGAGGGAGACATACAAAATGTGCAGGGCAGGGGGTACTCCAGGACAGGTTTGAGAACCACTGTGTTAGAGTATACACATAAATTTTTTTGTAGCATGTTTATGGATATCTGTTATGATAGAATATCTACTACCAAGTATGTAAGTTTTCATTCTTTATGTTACCATTAAGTAGGCTTCATAGTGGTGGTTTATCTTCACAATGTTTTAATACTAATACCTATTTGTTCTGATGTGTGTCAAATGTATGTCATATATCACAACATGTATATCTAATGTATTAATAAAAATTGTATACTGTGTGTGATTTACTAAGCGTTCTTTTGATGTTTATGTAAATAAATCACAACTGGGCAAACCATTTGTCACAATAAATATCTCTGTTACGTAGTTTTAAAAATGCAATGTCATTGCAGTAGTCATTGTGATTCATAGATTCAAGTTAATAATTCTTCATATTCACCCTTGAACTCAGTAATGAGCTTGCAATTATTGTACATATTAAAATGTACCAATGTATATGAAAGCATGGAAAAAGATAAAGAACAGCCAAATGATGTTACTATATGTACATGTACGATTAAAGCTGCAGAAAAAAGTATTAACATAGTTTTAAACCTCTAGTGCAGATGCCGACATGTCAGGCCAGACCGTGATGTTGTCCATGTGTTTGTAATATCTTATGCGCTTATCATTAAACTTTTACTTTTGATAAATGTGTTTCCATTGGGTCTCGTTCTCCACCTTCATGGAATCTGGAGTTCCTTATGTAATATCTCTCTACTTCTCCCTTCCAGTATTTACATCTCCCAGTCCTGTAAAAAATGGGGGCAAAAACAAAAGTGTTGCGTTTATAATTTTGTTCTGTGTATTTATACCAATAATCATTTACAAACCACAGAGCTCAAATAAGACAAAGAGCACCTGCCATTCCTCTACCACCATGATCCTGCAAATTTGATTTTAAAAGCTGGATCATTTTCTTTTTTGTATTTCTGCTCCTTGTTGATATGATCAAAAACAAGAATCCTTCCAATTTCCCGCCGGGACCCTGGCCTGTGCCATTCCTGGGAACTGTCTTCACCAAGATGGATTTTAGGACCATGGCTAAGGTGGGAGCTAAATTCATATGGTTTTAATTTGCATGTATGTCAATTTAAAGCCATTTTAGAGATGATTTCATTTATTGTCTTGTTTCTGGACTTTTTGTAAAGAAAATAGTAACTATCAATGTTCCTGATTGATATAAATAAAATAAAATAAATATTTTGAATTTCAGTTGGCTGAAGTCTATGGGAAGGTGTTCAGCTTAAGAGTGGGCAGTGATAAAATAGTAATCATATCTGGATATAAAATGGTAAAGGAGGCCCTCATTACTCAGACTGACAGTTTCGTTGACCGTTTTGTTGAGCGTCCAAATGTCCCTCTGTTTCACAAAGTTTTTAAGGCAATTGGTAAGTGCACTGACCACAATGACCTTAATGCTTAATACCAGTTTTGATTTTTTATTAATGATAATCAGATTTCATCATTATAGGTATATCACTGAGTAATGGATACCTGTGGCGGTCACATAGGAAGTTTGCTGCCTTCCATTTGCGGATGTTTGGAGAGGGGAAGAAAAGCCTTGAGCACAGCATCCAGCAAGAGTGTGTCTACCTTTGTGATGCCTTTAAGACAGAAAAGGGAATGGTGTAAATGTCTCACTAATTGGAGAATTTTAGTTCACTGGGGCAAAGAAGAATGACACCAATTTGCAATTTAATAAACATAAATTTTTTCTCTCAAACAGGACCTTTCAACCCTTTGACCATCTTAAACGGTGCTGTCTCAAATACTGTTGCTTGTTTGATATTTGGTCAACGCTTTGAGTATCATGATGAATGATACCAAAGAATCCTGCGTCTTGACACTGAATGCGTTCAGTTAATGGGCTCTCCTAGAGCACAGGTACTGATTCATGATAGCATTCTTAGACACTACTTTCATATTTTAACGTCCTGTGAGTTAATTATAATTCAAAATCTGTATTCATCACCCATAATGTCATCTTTTACAGCTGTACAATGTGTGTCCTCGGCTATTGCAATATTTACCTGGCCACCACCAGACTATTTTTTCCAACTATAAGAAGATCACAAACTTCCTGAGAGGAGAGATCATTAAACACAAAGAGGACTGGGACCCTTCAAACCCTCGTGACTTAATAGACAACTATCTGACTGAGATGGAAAAGGTACAGTAAGTAAAGGTGGAATTTTCTTTTTGAATTAGAATTTTGAATAATTCAGTACTTTTTTTTTCCACAGAAAAAGTGTGACCCCAAGGCTGGTTTTAACATAGAAGGGTTAGTGATAACTTGCCTGGACGTGATTGAGGCCGGGACAGAGACCACTGCTACTACATTACGCTGGGGTCTGCTTTTATGATCAAATATCCAGAAACACAGAGTGAGTTTGGTTTTAATTTTTAAAGAATAGACATATTGTCACCACATGGTTACCACTTTACAACCAACTTGTATTTCCCATTCAGGAAAGGTCCAGGAAGAGATAGACAGGGTGATTGGACAGTCGCGTCAACCCTGTTTGGCTGACAGAGTTAATATGCCCTACACTGATGCTGTAATCCATGAGATACAAAGACTTGGAGATGTTGTTCCACTGGGATTCCCTAAAAAAGCTGTTAAAGACACAACACTAAGAGGATACTTCATTCCTAAAGTATGAATTATATTCTATTCTATTCTATTCAAGACTTGATTGAAAGATATATGTATTTTAAAATATAGACAATGATCTGATATCGGCATAAATTTCTTATGTCAATCAGCCATTGTTGGTTGCTACACAAATGTTTTCATTCTCCCTTTATTAGGGCACTGCTGTTTCAACAATCCTGTCTTCAGTCCTGCATGATCCAAACGAATGGGAGACACCAGACACCTTTAACCCAGGACACTTCCTGACTGAAAATGGCCAGTTTCGGAAGAGAGAAGCGTTTCTGCCCTTTTCATCAGGTAATATTTTATAAACATTTACATATAACTTCTCAGTGTGTGATTTTTTTGTGGACTAGTATTAAATACAGAAGAACAAAACTAGCACTCACTTTAACAGGGCAATTTGCTTTTATAAATTAATAAAAAAACTAACAAATAAAAAATGCAATAATTTATAATTTAATGAGTGACATTTTTTTTTTCACAAAACAATGAGTGGTTTTGAATGAATGAACTCTCAGGCTGTTATACAACAAAAACACCTAAATTTACATAACCAAGTCATTGAAATTGGTGAATTGTATTTGTTTGACTTTACAATGCTACATGTGAGAGAGGATGTTTAGGATGAACTGATTCACTAGAATGAATTGGATTTCACTACAATGAGAGATGAGCACCAACTACTGTCACGCTAGTGAGGCTGTTGAAAAAAAATGTATCTAGGTTAATATAATGTCATCATAGTTGTAGTTAGTTACTTGTCAGGTTTTCTCTTGTCAATGCCACAATGTGATTTTTAATTTTGCATTATGGCTTCTGCTCACAGGTAAGCGAGCGTGTTTGGGAGAGCAGCTGGCTCGTCAGGTGCTCTTCCTGTTCTTCACCTCCCTGCTCAGCAATTCACCATCTCCAAATGTCCAGGAGAGGAACCCAGTTTGGTGGGCGAGATATGGTTCACATATGCTCCTGCTCCCTACCGTATGTGTTTGTCCTCACATTAGAACAAAACAAAGTCAGTACAATTAGACAAAGTATGTTTTCTGATATGTGTTTCTGGATGATTATCTTTTATGTTAGCATCTCATTTCCACATTTTTCAAAATGCAACATTGTTGCAATGTTGTACACTTGACTTTAATGTATAAATGTAAATGTTTCAATACATGTATTAATGATTTTGATGTATAAATGCACATGTATTGATATTAATGTACTGTGTAAATGATTTACGGATGTGTAAATAATCATATCTGTCCTGTAACTAAATTACACCTGGGTTGAAAATTTGTCACTTGAAACATCTCTGTTTCATGCAAAAAAATAAAGATAAGTAGAATTTTTTCATATAAAAAGACTATTCTTTGAGTTACTTTAACTATACTGAGTAAAGGAATGTCACACACTGAGTGTACAGTCTACACATAGCAGGGACAAACTCCCTTTTTAGATTCAGTGTGTGTGCTTGTAGGACAAATGTCCCTCTCTGATGTGCAGGAGGTCCATATTAATTTGTCCCTTTTTAACAATTTTGTTTGTTCAATTAACACTTACTACTGAATAAAAAAAAAAAAAAAAAGTGTAGAAACAATTTCCACTCAAAAATTGATAGTACACTTCAGAAATAATTACAAAGAAATGTCAAGTAACACGTTTAATTAAACATGTTTAAGTAGAAAGACTGAAATAGTATTTTCATACTTTTTCAACTTTGTTCCTTTATTTAAAATCTTAGAGTGTATTAATTGAACCCAGTGTTAAAAAGTGTGATAAAAAGTACATTTACAAACCTCTCAGACTGTGAAAATGGAGCAGCACATATTAAGCCTGAATTACATTTCACAACATTTCTACAGAGAATAAGAGGAAGAGAGCAAAACAAGGGTGTCTTATTACCTCCCCAAGCCTCTTGACTACTTATTCAGGAACAAAGGCCCTGTGGAAGCAAGTACCCAAAACATTCATATGGTACATTACACACATTTATATTATGTTTTAGCTGTAGTGTTCTGTACTGTTATGCATTAAGAAACATGTCGTCCAACTAAAACACTTTAGCATTGTCATGATTGCACAGATGTTCTTATCTGCTGTCTGCTCTGCATGTGTGCATATGACTTATCTCTTCAGTCTTATAAAGTTCAACTGTGTAATTCAGTCATTATTTATTACTTGTTCCTGGTAGAGATTTATTTGGAATG